ATCATTTCCTGTTATAGACTAACCTCGCCTCCATCTCAGAAAGGAAAGTTGATGTGGCCCCCCACTTTCCTGTTGTGACATTTACACTAGTCTTAATGGTGTGGCACCTCAGCATATGAGAGTGACCCATGGCGGCAGTGGCGCCCCCCCCCCCCCACCCCGCCGGCACAGGCATTGCACCAGCAAGCAGAGCTAGCCGCCCGGCGGCCCGCCGGCGCCCCCCCCCCGGCAAGGCATTGCGCCCAGCAAGCAGAGCTAGTGCCGGCGGCCCGTCGGCGCCGCCCCCCCCCGGCATTACCATCAGTTTGTCTTTGTTTATTTCTATAAAATAAATGGAGTATCTGTGGTACTTCAAATACACATGTTGAAGACTTTTATATTACTTTTTTGCAAATCAAAGGTGGTGCCAAAGCCAAACGAAGGGCAGCTACAACAAATTATCATTGTAATCTCCACAATATTATTGGTTGTCACCTGCCATATATTTCCTGTTATAGACTAACCTAGGCCTCCCATCTCAGAAAGGAAAGTTGATGTGGCCCCCACTTTCCGCCTGTGACATTCTACACTAGTCTTAATGGTGTGGCACCTCAGCAATATGAGAGCATGGACCCATGGCGAGCCGCAGCTGGCGCGCCCTCCCCACCGCCGGCACAGCATTGCACCCAGGCAAGCAGAGCTAGCCGCCCGGCGGCCGCCGCGGCCGCACCCCCCCCCCGGCACAGGCATTGCGCCACAGCAAGCCAGAGTAGCCGCCCCAGGGCGGCCGCCAGCACCCCCCCCCGGACACCAAGGCATTGCGCGACCAGCAAGCAGAGCTTAAGTGCCCGGCGGCACTGCGTCACGCCCCTCCCCCGATTACATCAGTTGATTTTATTATATTCTTAAACATAAATGGAGTATTGTGGTTACTTCAAAAAACACATGTGGAAGACTTTTTCATTACTTTTTTGCAAACAACAGGTCGGTTGCAAAGCCAAACGCAAGGGCAGCTTACAACAATTTCAATGTACCCGCCGGGGCACATGCCTTGCACCGCAAGCGAGCTAGAACCGCGGTGCCCGCCGCCCCCCCCCCGGACAGGCATTGCGCCAGCACGCAGAGCTAGCGCCGGTGGCCGCGGTCGGCCCCCCCCCCCCCCCCCGCGCACAGCATTGCGCCCCAGCAAGCAAGAGCTGCCACCGGCCGGCGCCGCGCCGGCCCCCCCTCCCCCCCGGACAAGCCAGTTTGCGCCGCCAGGAAGCCAGAGCTTAGCCACCCCGGTGCGCACCCACCCGGGCCCCCACCCCCCGGCACAGCATGCGCCCGCAAGCAGAAGCCTACCGCGGTGGCCCGAGCCGGTTGCCCCGCCCCCCGGCCAGGCATTGTTCACCCGAGCAAAGGCGAGAGCTAACGCCCCGGCGGCCCGCGGCCGCCCCCCCGCCTACTAGGCATTGCGCCAGCACAGCAGAGCTAGCCCGCGGCACAGGTGCCGCGGCCCCCCCCCCCCCCGGCACAGCCATTTGCAGCCCACAAGCGAGTTAGCCAACCCGCCGGACCGCGCGCCCCCACCCGGAGCACATTCCATAGGTTTGTGTTGTTATTTTCTATAAAATAAATGGAGTATCTGTGGTACTTCAAATAAACACATGTGAAGACTTTTTATTACTTTTTTTTGCAAATCAACAGGTGGTGCCAAAGCCAAACGAAGGGCAGCTACAACAAATTATCATTGTAATCCACAATAATACTGGTTGTCACCCTGGCCCATATCATTTCCTGTTATAGACTAACCTCGGCCCCCCATCTCAGAAAGGAAAGTTGATGTGGCCCCCACTGAAAAAAGTTTGGGGACCGCTGGTCTAGACAGACAATGATGGAAGCTGCAACTTGACTGGTTTGCAGAGGTAGATGACCATGAGGCAGTAATTCTAGTTAATTTGATAACTCAAACTTATACCAAATATTCAGTCCTCTATACATAGTGAATATGTCACATTCCCACTTAAGGGACACCTTAATGCTAGCATACTGGAAGAAATCTAAAATGTCTTCCTATAGCATAAAGTATCTATTGCTGGTAAGTTCTCTTTGCTGTATTTGCTGCTATGTGGCGTAAACAGGCAGAACAAGAAGTTAATTTAAGATTCCTCCAAACCTTGTTATGACAGTGTAACAAAATTACGATCTGATTATAACATCCGTGTTTGCTCCATTGTTATTGGTGAATGTTATTTATTCTCATCCCAGCTGTGCACATACATGTCCTCTTGTTGTTACAGTTGTTGGGTAGAGTTTGCTGTTTCTGACCACAAATCCATCATTTTCAGTAATCGTTTACCTTACTTGACTCTAACAAATGTACACCTGTCTGCAGTTGTGTTTTTAACTCTTCCTATACTACAAGGTTTTTTGGAGCTTTGATAGCAACTGGTATGATTCAGATTGGCTGCCCCACACTAGATTGTCAATAGGCTGTCTATAAGATTGGGAAAGCAAACACGCAAGCAATGACACCAGCCCAGATGTTCTATACTTGTATCCCATTACAAGCCTTCAGCAAATATGGCCAGAAGAGGACAGCACACTTCTGAAAACCCACCAAGTTGAGAAAGAGACTAGGCAATGATGTGATCCAAAGCTAACGACTTGTTTAAGTTGTTAAATGACACTTTGCCTTCAGCTATTTGCATGTTGTATTCCTGCTCAATCCGGTTTCTATGCGTTCCTGAACTCCAGTCTCACAGGGTTTCATGTCAAGCCTGAAAACCAATTCACTGTGAGAGTAATGCGTCTACCATAAGGATGGGAACAGACAGTGAGCAAGTGTTGCTAGGCAACAGAGTGGAACAGAGCGTATGTTCTGCTTTCTCTCCTCACTCACGCACACTTAGTGTCTCTTTCTTTCTGTCCTCTCCTCTGTCCTGTGCCTTCGTCCCAGTGTTAAACAGAGAACGACTATCGACAGAATACACTGGGTGCCTGCTGCTGATCTAACCTCACTAAAACCACCACACTGATTCAATTTGAGTCCCCTGATCAGGGATTTAGAAAAGGTGAAGAGAGCAAAGGGATGTACGTGAGGTCTGTCCAGGAACATGACAGTGTAGATTTGATTTTAATGCTAGAGGAAAGTTAACTACAAGTAGTAATACCAAGGAGAAGCAAACAAGTGAACACTATATTTATTATTATATATACACCCACACATACACACACACAGTGTATTCGAAGTTTACAGCCCCTTTCACTTTTTTTCACATTTTGTTTTGTTGCAATCTAGTCTCAGTAGTAGTGAAGCACCTTTGGCAGTGATTACGGCCTCAAGTCTTCATGGCTATGATGCGACAAGCATTGCACACTTGGATTTGGGAATTTTCTGGTATTCTTCTCCATAGATCCTCTCCAACCCTGTCAGATTGGATGGGGACTGTCAGTAGGCAGCCATTTTCAGGTCTCTCCAGGGATATTCGATTGGGCTCAGGTCAGGGCTCTGGCTGGGCCACTCAAGGACATTCCCAGAGTTGTTCCTGAGCTATTCCTGTGTTGTCTTGGATGTGTGCTTAGGGTTACTGTCCTGTTGGAAGGTGAACCTTAAGCCCAGTCTGAGGTCATAAGCACTCTGGACCAAATTAGGATATCTCTGTGGTTTGCTTCAGCTTTCAACCCTGACCAGTCTCATTGTCCCTGAAAAAACCCTACAGCATGATGGTGCCACCACCATGCTTAGAATTGAGGCCAAACGGTTCAATTTTGGTTTCACCAGACCAGTCCTTCAGGTGCCTTTTTGCAAACTTTCACTGAGCAGAGGCTTCTGCGAATGACCATTGCATTCCTGGTCATTTCTCTTACCAAGGCCCTTCTCCCCCAGTTGCTCAGTTGGCTGGGTGGCCAGCTCTAGGAAGAGTCCTGGTTGTTCCAAACTTTTTGAATTTAAGAATTATGGAGACCACTGTGCTCTTGGGAACCTTCAATGCAGCAGAAATGTTTTTGTAGTCTTCCCCAGATTGGTCCCTTGAGACGGTCGTGTCTCTAAGCTCTGCAGGCAGGTCTTTCAACCTCATGGCTTGGTTTTTGCTCTGATATGCTTTGTCAGCTGTGAGACCTTTATATAGACAGGTGTGTGCCTTTCCAAATCATGTCCAATCAGCTGAATTTACCACAGGTGGACTCCAATCAAGGTGTAGACAAGGTGTAATATCTCAAATATGGTCAAGAGAAATGGGAGGCACCTGAGCTAAATTTCAAATGGCTCTGTCCTTTTTAATAGGCTTACAAAAATTTCTAAAATTGTAGTTTCAAAGTTTGTTATTATGGTGTGTTGAGTGTAGATTGAAGAGGGGAAAAAAATAAATTTTAACAATTTCAGCAAAAGGTTACAACATAACAAAATGTGAAAAAAGTGGTCTGAATACTTTCTGAATGCACTGTATGTACTGTATATATGTTGGGTGGAGAAATGTATGAATCACTGCCTCTGTCAGCAAAACAGAAAATCATTATTTTCTCTCTGTCAGAAAGTAAGACACAGAGCGACAGGGATGTTGCACCATTATCTGCTCTGTTTGGGAAATGTATTCAGAGGAGAAAAAAAAGCTCATCTTATCTATGATGTAATGATTTACAGACTTTACAGATACAGCCCATTTAAATGAAAGCTGTCATGCATGCCTTTTTTTTTTTTTTTCCTGCACGTGTGATGTTTTTGGTCAGTTGAACAGGCCATGCATGATGTCTGTATGAGCGAGACAGAGAGAGGGAAAAAAAAGGAGGGGGGATTTTTAAAGCACAACTGGTGGAAGGAGTAGAGCGTGCAAGAGAAGGCGTTAACACATTCAGGGATGGGACTGAGGGAGTGTGTGAGAGAGAACCATGAAGCCACTGTAGCTGTTTTTGCTCACACTGTTGGGGTGCTGCTACAGCTGTGTACAGAGCAGGCAGGCTATTAAAGCTGCAGACTGGAAACGCTCATTGCGACTGCACACACAGGCACTCATACACCGGCTTACACATGTACACACATGGACGTGTTGCCTCTGCCTTCAGTGCCAGCTTGTGATGTGACGTGAAGGGAAGAGAGTCATTTTGGGACAAAGGGGGTACTGCCTTTAAGGTAGGGAAGCTGTCATTATCTGTATCAGCAACAACATAATGTCTGCTCACTAGGATTGTTGTCCCACACCCCTTTTTTTTAGGTTGTTAGATATTGTTGTTTTTTTCTGACTCTTAAACACACAAATGATGCACTGGATGCTACTGCAGCTGTCGAGGCTCTCAATGATATGACTCATTTTGGGAACCATGTATTCCTTCTGAGGAGTAGCCTGAGTGATAGTGAGTGATAGTGATTTTTTTTTTCTTTCCTCAGTAATTGACTCGATTTATAGCAGTCTGTCTGAATCCCCAAAAATGAAACACATCACTTACGTTGGACAGGAATAGTTTGATAAGCTTTGTTGAAAATCTGTTTAGTGGTAGCTCAGTAGCTGTACATCCATGGATGAGTGCATCAGGCAGCACTGATGTAAGTATTTCACTCACACACCAGATGGCGATATGACAATCCATTTAAATCACACCTAGTCAGAACAAGATTACCTTGGGGTATCCTGGTAGCTTGGTTGGCTGAGCACATGCCACTTAACCACAATGCCCTTGGTTCAAATCCAGCCACCACATGCTGCTTTCCTAATCCATTCTACTGTGTCCCTCCCCCATAAGTCATCCGACAAAGCCAAAATGCCATAAAAATACTAGAAAATGAAGATAGTATTTAGTGAGCCATTGACTGAATACACACATAACATTTGTCTGTGTCATGCTGAATTAAAATTCAGTACCTATTAATTACTGCAAAAGTGGAAAGGAGCCTTACTGTGCATGGCATAAAGTAGTATAAAAGCCCCTATTACATAATTATATGCTGGAACATCTTAATAGCTACCCATATTATCTGCTTTGTTTAATAAACACTTACCCCAGCCTCCTTTTGTTCATCAGCTTAAAATGCAAGTGTCAGAGAATTCACAGAAATTGAGTTCAATGTGTTTTTTTCCCTGCTAGTGGGAAATCTATAGCTGATGTTGTTTTCAAAGGAGTAAATGATTCCTGAGCAACATACAGTTAAATTTCCATTATTGTAGAATTCTCTGAGCAGTCTATTCCCTAATTGTTGCTATTGCAGACGCAAACTCGGCAGGTGGGACGGCCATATACTGTTGAGTGGAGATTCCCTCAAGCATTTTTCACATGGCTTTATCTGTGAGCACTGGTAGGGCTTGGAAGTCAGTGTCCGTAAGAGGCACATTTTAGGCCGGCAAATCAGTGTCCAAAATGCTCAGCTCTGTCTGACTCCAGGCAAATAGTCCTTTTCCTGTGACTGGACTTAGTAAAGCTTGAAAACACTATTTGAAGAAAAACAGACACACTTATTAAATAAGCTTGGTACACAGGGAACAAGAAATTTTTAATAAACTGCTTGGCATCACTGGATCAGAGCAACTTATAAGATATTGAAACAGATGTAGACAAGCGCTTGGAAATTATGATTATTTTTTGTTTGTGCATTTCTGTCTCACTGTGATGATAACAAGAAAGAAAGAGAAGACATAATATTAAATGGACACAAAGGAAAATCCTTGACTTGAAGAGTCTCAAGGTAACTGCCACAGGTTTTTTTTTCCCCCTCTCTCATTCTTTGAGATTGCTTAGTGTGCAGTTTTTCCACAACTAATTAATTCCTTTGCTCCTATGTCATCTTTCCACACATACAGTATTTATATTTTTGTGTGTTTTATGGTCATCCACAGTGGTGTAGGTCTGCCACAAAATGTTCTGGACCTTCTTACCCATTAAGCCTATGGAAAACGTAACACATCCAGATAAACCAGTGTTCCATCACATAATGACCAGCGTATTGGCAAAGTCTGGATACATTTGTAACATTTGCAGTATGTGGAATAACTATTAGATACTTGGGATGCAGTGTGTGCTTTTTACCTATCCACACTGAATTAAAAGGATGGCTTTTGGAGTGGATGCATGGCCCAGAATGTTTCTCTGTACCTTTCACTGTGTCCCTTTAAGTCCTCCCCTTCTGGCTCACATTCAGCAGGAGATGATGTCAGTATTTCCTGTGGCCCCAGAGTTGCACGAGTGCGTCATTATTCCCATCTCTGACGCAACTCCTGTCAGAGCAGCTTTGGCAGCTCCCTCGGTACAAGGCTGACGTCTCCCAAGTGGACGGCACAATTGGGCCCTGTCCGACTTGGGACTGGTTGCAGTTACAGCCTCCAGATTTGTGCCATTAATCATCCTGACTGACTAATTTTGAGACTGAACTTATCATGTCTCACTAACAGATAGATTACCTGTCTTTTGATTATTATTATATTTTTTATTTTTTTTAATTTTTTTCCTTAGTTTTTACACCAGTGGTTTTCTGGTCTAAATCGCTCATAAATCAGTTCTCACATGGATGTCCATATGCCCTAATATCTCACTCTAAATGGGCTAACTGAATGTGTTAGTCTGTGGGTTTTGGAAAACCAGCAGTGCTGGTTGGCATGTCTATCCATCTGTCTGTTCTTGGAAAGTCCACCATATTACACTGGTGGGTCTATCTGTAGGCTTGTCCGCTTGGCAGGTCTGCTGTATTAGCAGGTGGATCTGGCTGTCTTTCTGTCTGCTTGGCAGGTTCATCATATTGGCATTGGTAGCTTTGGCTGTGAGGGTAAACTGATATCTTGCCTGCAACTTTGTTTTTAGTATTTGTTTTGTGGAGGATGGCAATCTGGCTTGTAGTCAGGGGATCTGGTTGTTGTTCATGTGCGAGTTCTTTTGTGGAGCTGACAAGATACCAAATGTTCTGGTAACATACTAATTGATATATTAGAATAATAAAAACTGATGTTAGAACCATCTGTTGGTCTGTCAGGACTTACTACAAGTAGAAATCTGTAGAGTACTCCAAGAGAACAATGGGCAGACATTTTCACCATTTCCTTAATTTTCCTCCAAATGAAAAAAAGGTCATTTAAAAAAAAGAGTGAGAGGGGAGATAAAGGTGTGAAAGGAGAAATGTGAACAGGCCTCAGAGTAATGCACCTCAGGTTTTTTTTGTCTCGGGTCATAATGTTTTCCTTTTTATAGCTGTGGTAATAGTTGAGAGGCGAGGCTGGCTAAGTGTGCTTTTTTCAGGAGGCAAATGGGAAGACTACACCCCATTTGGGATTTCAGATTGTAGCTCTCCAAAATGTTCCCATTTCATACATTTATATTACTCAAAGTAGATAGACTAGAGTGGAGCATCATATTCATTTTTAGATTAATTTATAGGGAAGAGTTCTTTCTTCCAACACAAAACAGAGAATAGTGCATCCTCGCATCCTTGGAGGCTGCTTAATTTCAGGATGCACAGACAGAGTTTTGTCCACTTATCCTAAATCAGCTTCCTCCTTACCTCAGCCAAACAGATGCACAATTCCTCTACTATCTGCAACCCCTTTGGTAGCCTCAACGTGATTGGAAATTTAGAGAAGTACAAGATTGACAGCAGAGTAGGTTTATTCCAAAACAAGACAACTGTGAACTCAAAAAAGCACCATCAAATTGTACAAATGGATGTCTGGCATGAAGGAAAGTATCCACAGACCTCAAGAGAAGCTTCTAGCCTGCCTATTGCAGATATGCAGTGTATTTCCATGGAGAGTTCAAGCGAGTGAAAATGTGATTTCAAAGCCTACTCTGCGCCATCAAGAACATTTCTAAGGAGGAAAACACTGACTGGCAAATCCTGCTGAGGCTCAAAACCTGTTGCTGTTGCAGCTTCATTTTCAGGCCTGGTAATCCTTTTCCTGTGACTGACCCCGCGGGATGGAACTAATGCCTGAGTACATCGCTGTAAGCAAGATTGACAGAAGCCTTTTTTCATAACTTGTATTAATCAAGTGCTTGTTTCCTCCATATATATCATTTTTATACTGGCTGGTTGGTTAGTCAGTTGGTTGACTGGACGGTCCGCCACTTTGTGTCCAGACTGAATATCTAATCTATTGGATGAATTGCCCTTTAATTTTGTACAAATATTCAAGCTCCCTAGATGACAAATTCTAATGATTTTGATGGTCCCCTTACTTGTGCCACCAGTAAGTCAAAGTTGTCACTAATCGAGTGAAATATCTCTATATCTACTTGGTAATTAGGTGCAAACGTTTTCTACAGACGTTCATATTTGCACAGACGACGTGTAATCTGATCCCCTAATTTTTTCTGTGAAGTCCACCCTGGGGCTCACATTTAATGTACTAATTAGCAAGTGTTAGCATACTAAAATGTTAAACAAAGATGGTCAGTGTGGTAAATGTTACACCTGTTGAGTGTTAGTATATTAGCACTGTCATTGTGAACATGTTAGCATGCTGACAGTAGTGTTTAATTTAAGTAAAACCTCGCAAAGCCTCTAGCATGGCTGTAGACTCTTAATTTTGTTAAATTTTACATGATATACTATGACAACTACTGCTAATGGTAGTAATATGATATGATAATGATGAAGTAAAAATACTAGAAATTTCTAATGTTGGTAATTTTTCCACATATTTATTGTTGTCCTCCAGTCAAGGTATGAGATTTCATCCCAGCAAGCTACAGGCCTCTCAGTCTACAATGTGAACCGTTTTCGACTGCTGGAAGAGAGAAACCGAGCTTTGAAGCTTGAAGTAGCCACGCTTCGCCAAGAGAAACAGCAGTACAGGAAACTGGTAAACGTCCTACTCTCTCCACCTCAGCTTTGTCTTTTTTTGTCACACAGACACACACATTATCTCTACCACTCTTTACCGTTCACACACTCAACATCTGAGATGACTGTCTTTTTGCCTGCAAATACCAGATTTCAATGATATGAGCACAATATACACATTTAGTGGTAACTCCCCCCTCACATTTGAAACTATTAAGATGTTTTTTTTTTTATGGTACTTAATATATGTATTTAAATAATGTCAGTGGGCTGCACTATAGTCCTTGTTGCAGCTTTTATTCTTCAAGGACGCAGCTGCCTATAGCTGGGTGACTTGCATGACCCTGTGCTTATATACTCCCTCTACTTGGTCTTGGTTACGCACACCTGTGGGCACATGTAATGTGTTGTAAAATAGATAGGGAGAGGTGTGTGGTTTGATGTGTATTATGCGTGGGAGTGAGTGGTCGAGGTGCCACATATATTTTTGTTTGTCGTGTATGTTCATGGATGCATTTGTGTATGTAGTGACTTTGTCCTTTGGAGGCCTCCCCCATGTCGTCTCGGATGGCAAGGCGTGTGAGCCGTTGTCTTGGCAACACGCCCATTTGCAGGAGTGCGGACAGACTGGCAGAGGGGAACTGACAGAGCGTAATGGCTGCTTCTGTTATAAGCCTCAATGGCTTGAAATTAGTGTCAGTAAAATAGGGGGAAACCCACGTGCTATAGTCTGTATTTACCGACCGTATATTGACAGTGTTTCTGTTCACTCTAGCTCTTAGACTAAAATAGTTTGTCACACCACTCCATTGGGTTGTGAGTGAGAGTATTGTCAGCTTATTAGAAGCACAAAACCGTTGATATTTACAACAGTATAGACAGAGACCCCAATGATTTGCTACAGTCCCCATATAAGAAAACTAGATTCAGTCCAACTGAAGAATTAACTTTCTGCCATCAATCTTTCTCCCACTGAGAAGAATCATCATGTGTAAAACTTTGCAATGGGCACTCTCCTTCCAATGTATGAGCTGAGAAATCACTTCTATGACACAGCACAGTGCTAACTGTGTAGCATTCTCCTTCTCTTACCTTTCTGTTACTTAACTAGAATTCATGGCTTTCTGCCCAGTGGCAGATTTTGTCCATATTTACAGCCAAAACCTTGGCACAATCAGGCAGGCCCTGTTGTCTGTTACCATAGCTAACCTGCAGTAGTCATCAACATAATTTAATGAGTAATATTATGTAATTGTGTGTGTCATATATATCACTTTTGATTTAAATGATAAATTGCATTTAACTTTTCTTTTTATTCATTTTTTTATTTGATGAGAACAAATATTGGTGGAAATGTATTTGTTTTATAAGCAGCTCTTGGTAATTACAAAAATCATACAGCAACCAGGCTAAAGGTAATGTAATACATCTAGACAAAACACCCATTAGACCGAAATATAAGATTAAGCAATATGCTGGTACAAAACACACACACACACTAACAAACACCAGACCAAACACCAGATGGCTGATTAGCCAACTTGTTAGTTATGGTTTGAATGGATGACTTCACTAACAAAAGACCCACTTCAAGCTCCCTTTAATGTCAACTCTATTCTATGTTATAACTGTAACATCTATCAGTTGTCACATATTAGCATCATGACATAGTGTGCTTCTATCTCTATTGCACATGGTGAGAAGGAATGCAGATGATTGCTAATACTTTATAATATGGGTACAAAACATATACTTATGTAACACACTGACTCCTGATGATTTAATGCATGAATTAATGCAGGATGTAACATGAATTGCTTATGCTCATTATTAACAAATTATTAACTCATTATGTCCTTGTGATTAGTTTACACTTATTAGATCATCAGTTAGTGAATGTTTATTCACAGTTACTTTGTTATTCCACCAAAATGTCTGGATTTAAGTTAAACTGAAAAGGGGAATTACAGACCCATGCATCTGAAAGTAGAACAATACTTATTCTCATTCTCAAGCTTTTTTTTCATGAATTGAATCATTATGACTCATGCATTAATTAAGCATTACTTGAGTATGTGTTGTGCCCTATTTATTAAGTGTTAACCATAATCTAGCTGTTTCTAAATGTATCAAAATTACAGCTTTTTTAAAATGGTTTTGATGCTATATGCTGGATATGTAAGAAGGCAACTATTTGCTAAGATACTGACTTATTAGATGGTAATATGTTGTGTTCACAGCTTGTTTCTGCTCCTGCCCAGTGGCCAAAAAATCATGACAAAACTCAAACCATAACATGCCAGATGTGACAATAGTTGGTGTAGCTGCCCACAAGGAAAGAAACTTTGTTTTGACCAGTTGGATGGCAAATGGTGCAAGCACTAGACAATGTTGCAAGGAAAGACTTGAATGTTTTTTGACTATAGGTATTTTCATCTCACTCCCCTCTTGTATATTTAGATAAGGGTGCTAGATCGGGCTGCCAGCTAAATGCCTAAAATCCACCACCTCGCACTGTTGTATTTTATCCTTGTCAGCGATATTCTCTTGTTATTGTCTTTTCTGCCATTGCATTAGTTACTTTGCTACTTGAATGGCAAGAAACATACTGAGGAGGTGGACTGCTTCCTTGAGAAAAAAAAATCATGGAGCGGTTGCCTGGAAACAATCTGTGATCGACAGTCGGAGAAACGTACCCTAGGTGAGGAATGACCTTCTGTGTACTGTGTAACTGCTGCTAAAAGGCCACAGCTGTCTCCCTGGACACCATCCCTATGGCAACAATTGTGTACTGCTAGCAGCTGGCCCACTCAGATGAGTCTTCATGATGATATGGGCTGTCCCAGTGCAAAGAGGAACAACGTCTAATCAATAATCACTAATAGCCGTGTTGTCTCAGCTGACCCAGTAATCTCCATTTTAACTCCCTCTAATCAAAGATGCACAGACGTACCAGGGTTAATAATAGTCCAGTGTCGAGTAACACAATTCAGCTGGAATAATATTACCACCACCCACAGGATAGACAGAAAATTCACATTGTTTTGACTCACAAGGCTGTGTTAACAACTGATATTAGACAGGGTGTGCTTTGGCTGAGCTTTCTATTCTTTCCTTAATTGAATTTGTCTTTCAGATGGCACAAGTTGTCTCTATATAACTACATTATCCTCTTTTTCCCAGTCCATTTCCCATTTCTTGTTACTTAAGTAAAACTGTTAAGAGCTAAAGCCAAGCACAGTAAGTTTTAGAGGAAATGGTTAGAAAAGAGGAAAACAGATTTTAGTTTTTTTTTCTCGTGGTACCACTTACTGTACATAATGTGAACTAATCTATGAAATGAGTGGGTCATGCTTTGTAGACTTTGCTAGCTCAACAAGTATTAGTAAAACAGTAAACCTGCTGTGTTTCTTTATTTCACCCTTGATTCATTTTTGACAGATTTTAATTTGAACAATGCAAATATTTTAATGTCAAAATAATCGTGAGAGAAACAAACTCAAGACTTGTAAAAAAGCTAATCTTTTTCTAAAATATGACGGTGTTTCCATTATAAATATTCAAGCTGAATCAGGGTTTAAAACCACAAAGGATTTCTTCCAAATAAGTTAATTTTCAACTATAATAATTTCTTTATTAAAGTTCTATTAATTATTTTCTAATAAAATTTCCCTTCAAACTCTTTAATGTGGGGTCTGGTGCCCAGCTAAGACTTTAGAGAAAAAGGACACACCTCAATGCCACTGTAATTATTAGACCACAAATTTTCAACAATGACTTCCTTCTGAAATGTGTCCATTGTACCATTATTCTTTCACGTAATGTAACGTAACGTAACGTCACGTGATGTAAAACAACATTGTCAAACCAACATTCCGTGTACTATATTAGATGTACAGTGCAGTGCAACAACTCACACAGCCAGCAGTGAGAGCATGCCTAGAGGATTAGTTTGCCAGGGGTAGTGCTCGCTCGTACTGGTCCATCAAGTCTCCCATCTCTGAATGTCTTTTATGCTTTTTATATTTCTTTAATATTTCTTGGCATTTTCATCTCTCACGTTTCCTCTGTTTTGTCACTGTTCACTCGTTCTCCCATAAATTCCAAGTCTTCCCCTCCATTTGTCTCTCTTTCTCTCTCTCTCTCACACACACACACACACACACACACACACACACACACACACACACACACACACACTTACTTCCTGTCCTAACCTCTTTACTGCCCACTTCCAGGCAGAAAGGTTGACTGAGGCCACTGGTCTGGCCTGTGCAGCTTCATGCCTGCAGTAATCTAAGCAGAGTAGATGTATATCAGGGAGGGTCATGCCAGCCCATAATCAAATTTCAGACATTTTCACAGAGTTCATTCCAGACACAAATTTTGAAATGAGTTATACTTTCTTCCCGGTAGTGATTGGATCATGTTTAAATGATAACACCAGTGTCATTCAAATTTTCTGTATGATTATTATTACTTAGGAACCATCCAAACCCACTCAGAGGCTGCTGCAGTCTGATCTACCCTGGTTTCCCTTACTGATCCTGAAAGGCGTATGTTTCATGCAAAGTATTTTCATTTCTACCATTAATGTACACTTAACCTTCAGTTCCAACCAAATGGAACTACTCATTATGACCTTATTAAGTCATTTACAGTATATCCTGTATAGTCATAGATTGTTCATGCTGCACTTCAGTGGCAATTGCTCTTAATCCACATAACCACAATTAATAATGTACCTCACAGTGCTACCTCCTAGGCAACCACTGCTTTCAGTTGTTATTGAGTTGTGCTGGCCATAGAAATAGAAGACAGGAAAAAAAAAAAAAAAACTTGAACAAGGGCAAAATTGTGTTCTTCTGAAAGAAACAGAGATGGATAGTTACATAAATGCTGACCATTACCTTGGTCTCAGAATATATGCTGAAAAAAATATTTGAAAAAAATTAGTGGTCCATGGTGTTAGGAGCACTGAATCATATTACCCTTAAAACTGGAAGGGAAAACAAATTC